AATAAAAATGGTATCGAAAGCAAGTCAACTTAAAAACAAAACAATCAAAGAAAGAAAAAAAGATTAACACCCTTATATTTTGGTCTGCTGTGACTGATTATTGTATCGACAGATTGCAACCTTTTCAATGCCTGATATTTGTCGCTGTTTGCCACTCTGTTGCCTCTTTTTCTACCTCTGTGCTTCACTTTTCTCAATCTTTGCATGTTGGTAATGTGATCTCCCAGTGCTTTAATAAACTGAACTCTCTCTTTGTTGAGATCTCAAGCCTTTTTTTTGCTTTCAAGGCTCTGCTTCAATTGTTGGCATTTATACTTATGGCACACGTTTCCTATTAAGATTATGCTGTTTTTTTTGTCTCAACCCAAATTATTCCAACAGTGGAGGATCTCGAGCGCAATGATGGCACAGCAGACAGACCATACTTCATGCCAGAGAGACTGCTGTCCATCCTCAAGAAGTCCAATGAGGGGGTGAAAACAGTGGACTAAGGAAAGAAGAAAAGATTGTTAGAAAAACACACAAAGTGTAGGGACAGAAAAATAGAGAGACCTGCCATACTTGCACTGATTTTATAGCTCAGGCACCAGTGAGTAATACCAGTCATTACAGCCAAAAGTGTTTTATATTTGTTATGTGGTTTTGTATTTGTATATATTATGCTTTATTAGACTAGGCACAACTGTCCTAATATCTTTTTCAGTTTCCTTTGAATGTCTAATGTGTTACTGCATTACTTTAAATGCATTGTTCTCGTGATGGCAGGGTTTGCGTTTGAAATTGTGATATTTCGTCACAATAATCATAACCATTTATATATATATATATAATCTGACAATGTTTGAATATAATGAAAGCCACTCGTTTTGATATAACAAAATATTTTTACAGTGTTTTTAATGCGTCCATTTGACGCAGCCATTTTTGTGTTACTAGTATTGTTTGTAAATAATTCTGTAACGTCACGAGAGGGAAAAACTAATAAAAATTAATTGGGGCATGAACGTTTCATTTTTTTATTTATTATTATTAACAAGATCAAAATACATGTATGTGACAAACACTATACATGATATAAACAATAAACATTATACATGAAATAATCAATTGCATGAACGTAATGTCGTTTGTTTTCCCGGGCGTTAAACTACGTAACGTACTTAATATTCATGAGCCAGCCAGTTCAGTTACTAGGCAACCAGTAGAAAACAAACGAGGCTCTTGTGGGCAAGGTGATAGTGGAGAAAGCCAACTATAAACACCAAAATAATAAATGTTCATAAAAATGCCCGGCACGTCTATCTCAGAGGACATCGAGCCCCCAACCCACGATGAAATTTCGGAGCTCCAAAGAAAAATTCATCTTCTGAGTAAGTTTTTTTTTACGGATTTCACCGTTTAAGCTGAATCAGTTAACTTAAAACGTGATTATATATTCAGTAATATTGCGGAAGTCGTTGAGTAATAAGTTCTTCCATTGTTTTATTATTTTCTTCATTAAGTATTTATTCTCGAGGATGTCAGTCAGCAGTCAACTTGGATATATTGAATAACAAAGTGGTTTTGTAACTGTTTAATACCTTTGCATTAATTTTAAATGAAACAGCGAGCTCAATAAAATTGTTTACATAAATTTAATATTGCATTACCAAGTTCACATTTTGCTCGATGAATGGTTGTTGTTTTTTCCCCACTGTCCACTAGATGGAGACTATTCGATAGCGCATATTGAAAACTCTCAGTCTGCCAAGAACATAGAAACTATCATGCAGCTGAGACTTGAGAATGCAAACCTGCACAAGAATCAGCCTGAGGTCAGAAAACACACTTAAGTAATATTCAAATTAAACCATCATTTAAAGTATAAGTTGGACATATGTATTCATTCAAATATTGGTCATGGTGTCCAGGGAGATGAACAAGTTATCAAGGATGTTATTCAAGGCCATGGGATGGAGAAAGAATCATTCAGGAACATGTCTGTGAAGGTGAGGTTAAATGATTTTTCCTTAAAGGAATAGTTCACCCAAAAATGAAAAATTGCTGAAAATGTACTCATGCTCCGGCCATCCAAGATGAGGATTGTTTCTTCATGGGAACAGATTTGGAGAAATTTAGCATTACATCGCTTGATCACCAGTGGATCCTCTGCAGTGAATGGGTGCCGTCAGAATGAGAGTCCAAATAGCTCATAAAAACATCACAATGATCCACAAGTAATCTTGTGAAATGCTGTGTGTTGGTAATAAACAAATCCATCAAGACATTTTTAACTTCAAACTGTTGCTTCTGGCTAAAATAGGAGTACTCCATCTATAATATTGCTTTCTCTAGTGAAGAAGTCGTCTCATCTGAATCAGGAGAGAAATATGCACAGATCAAGCATCGCTTACAATCAAAAAACATTCCAAAACAGGTGTTGGTGGATGTTGATGTGAGAGGACAACAGGGGATGGACTTTTTATGGATTATGGATTCGTATTTTGGCAAGAAGCACCAGTTTAACTTTAAAACGCCTTAATGAATTTGTTTCTTACAAACACGCAGCTTTTTATTTCACAAGACGTTAATTGATGGACTGAAGTCGTGTGGATTACTTGTGGATTTGGACTGACGGCACCCATTCACTGCTGAGGGTCCATTGGTGAGCTAGTTGTGTAATGCTAAATTTCTCCAAATCTAGCAAAACAAATTCATCTACATCTTGGGATTCCCTGAAGGTGAGTAAGTTTTAAGCAAATTTTCATTTTTGGGTGAACTATTCCTTTACGGAATTCAATGCATGGATGATCCAATGGGTACTTAATTTATATATATATATAAAAAAAATACATTTCAATTTATAAATATGTGGAATATTTATGAAACAATAATTGAATGTTTTGGACAGTGTGTTTTTTTTATTATTTATAAAAAACATCCATAGCAACAAAATGTGATTATTTTAAAGGGGGAGGGGGGGGGGGTGATTCTTTTCTATACCCACTGTATACATATAATTTGTGGTCCAGAAAGTTGTATTTGACTTTCCTCACTTATAAACAGAAATCTTTGTTGTGCAGGCAGCTCAGATGGTGCTAAAGAAGCAGGTGTGTGATAAAATGAAGAAGCAGAATGCTATGAAACACACCACTCAGACACAGATGCAGCATTTAGAGGACTTGAAGTTCCTGGTGCTGAAGCCACAGAACAGTAGCCCTCTGCCTGACACCCAGAAAGGAGAGGAGGACAAGGTAGAAATTGTCTTTTTTTTTGGGCATTTTGGATGAACGTTGGTGAATCTTAAAAATATGTGTCCAGGATATTATTTTTGTGTGCTTGTTGTATAGAAACTGCGCATTCTGGAAAACAGTTTGGAGAAATCACAGCTGAAATACCATGAAGCGGTGCACATAACGCGAGGATACCGCAAGCTGAAGGAGCACCTACAGGTATCAGAGCAGCTATAGACACAGCTCAATAAACCCACAGAGCACGATACCTCATATAGGTAATTATTAAGCAATTATTTAAAGGACGTTACGATATCACTTACTGTTTTACTGTATTTTTGATCAAATAAATGCAGCCTTGGTAAGCATAAGAGACTTTCAAAAACATAAAAAAAATCTTACCAATCCCAAACCTTTGAAGGTAGTGTATATTATGATAAATGGACATTTCTAATCATCCTCTGTTGTGTTGCTTCAGGAAGAGAGTCTTACATTTCAACCACAGCTGGACAGGATGGAGACAGAGGTCTATTGGCAGACACAAGTGCTCAAAGACCTACAGGTCATGAACAACAACGTTCTCCTCTTCAAGGATGCTGCCAAGGTAAAGCCAAAGCATTTCATGAATAATTGAAAAATGTAATGAGATAATGAAGCAAGCAGATGTGCAAGTACGCCAAGGTAAAGTTCACCCAAATAATGCTGATAGTAATGTGTGTGTGTGTCCAGGCTGAGCTGCAGCTTCAGGAGGAGCAGGTGTACAGAGAGCGCAGAGAAAGAGAAAAAATCCTCTTCCGCTACAAGAAGCAGGCCGAGGAGAGGATGGCTCAGGCAGAGAGGATGAAGAGAAGAGTGAGCATCATCTGC